ATTACTTTCTTCACCTTCTGGGATACCAATTATCTAGATATTTGGGTGCTTAAAGGTATCTAGTTTTCCTCATATATTGTCCTCATTTTTCTTGGTTGTTTTCTCAGTCTTTTTGATAATTTTTTCTAGGTCAGAGGTTTTTTTCTTCTACATTCAGGATTCGATCTTTTGTGTGATTTAATTTGCTTTTCATACTTTTGAGGGAGGTTTTAATTTCCTTTTTCATAATCTTCATCTCTAATAGTTCTGTTTGATTCTTTTTTATGGTGTGTATTTCTTTCAAATCATGAAAGAACTTCCTCATCTCCTGTAGCTTGATGTCTCTTTTCTCCTTCATGTCATTTAGCTTTGTCACTATAAATATTCTTAACTTTCCATGAGTTCCACTGTGTTGTCTGAGGATGATGAGGAACTGATGTTTTCCCTTGGGGAAGAGATAGTGAGAAAGTATGATCATGCCCTATAGGGTGTGCTCCTATTGCAGTCCCTTCTCCTCCATTTCTTTCTCCTCTTGGTATTTCAAGCCATGGGTCTGAACTGTAAACCATACTATTGGCCATGTGGGATCCAGCCACCTTAACTACCTTGTCACCAGCTGGTCCACAGTAAATAAGTTTTATAAAAGAACATTTGCTCTGATCTCTCCAAAGTTACTTTTCTTTTAAACTATGAACAGTTAATATTCCTTTTTTCTCATACTCCATAGAAAGTTTAGATTATTTGTTAGGTATAATGCTGTTTTATAGCCTTGTTTTATAATAAATTCATATCTTTGAGAATTTAATTTTTAGATTTATCTTTTCATTAGCTTTGGAAGAATGTGTGCATGTGTATTGGGGAGAGTCTTGAGTAATTCATGAGTAAGCTACAGGTGCAACAGATTTTATTTTATGACTTGTTATGTAAGTCAGGAAGTATCACAAATAATGCTTATTTTCTGCCTGAAATAATGTCATCTTTATGAAACAGAGCTGTGCTGTCTTTTAAGTATAGCTTTCTAATCAGGGTTCAAATTACCTTCGCCCTTCTAGTTTATGCCTTGTGAGGGCCTCATCATCTACGTATATACTCAGCTCTCGAAGTTCTCCATTAAGGCATGTTAGTAGGATTGTGATTATTATTTCATTCATATGTGGTTAGTCAAGGTTTAAGACATCCTTTCCTTTAATATTTCTTTTTCTTTCTTCCTTTTGTATATATTTGGAAGAAATACCTTAAAATGACTACTTGGTGACTAATTTCTTATGCTATTATCAGTGTCGCATATTTTATACTTCTTGGATGAAACTTTAATCTCAACATTTATCCATATATTGTTTCATTATGTAATGTTTCTTTTGGGTCTGAGGTATTGCTCTCCTAGTGTTGGACTTTATATACTGAGGTAACCAATGACCAAATTGAATTACGTGGAGCATACCACACAAATGATTAAGTAAACAACTTCAATAATTTCTTCAAAGATTTTTCTCAATGAAAGACTTTTGAATGTGATAAATCTAATGACATTTTATAGTACTAAATTAAAATATTAAAGTTAATTATTAAATAGTAAAATGAATGTGATAGTGACCCATGGATTGCTGTTGTTCATTTTTGTACAGATTTTTAATACTCTCAAATTTCCTTAGTACTGACCCATAACGTTTAATTATAATTAGCTATACAAGCTGTTTTAATTGTACTTCATTAGTGTCTTCTGATCATTAATCTCAGGGGAAAGTTTTCTTTTGTGTTGTTTTGTTTCTTTTCCCTTCTCAGTAGAATCTCTTGAGTATGTAATTAATAAAATGATAAAAAAATGCTTGTAGCTCTAGAGTGTAAAATTAGCAGTGAAATGTCTCCTTACTTAGAGGATATGATGAAACTTTTATAAGGTATTTGTGCATTTTGTTTGTTTCCAGTTGTAAAGAACATAAGAATGAATTTCATTTGTACTAATAATAGAAATTATATTATCTGGACATAATCAGAGTAAATGCTAGAGAATTTATCTTATCAAGACAGACATAAAATATACTAGTTTTTATTACTCAAGGCCTGCACACTGGAATAAAGTTAAACTTACATACAGCAGGTGGTGGAAATTTTATAGAAACACAGTACACATACTCCAACTTTTTGCATGAGTCTCAACCTAAACTTCGTTTTTCAGTTTGTTACTGAAATAATATTGTCCAAAATGTGAGTACATTTATAATCCAATGGACTTGTTCCTTTTTACTCAATTGCTTTTCATTCCAGAAGAAAATATAGGAAAATAAAGGCACTAAGGTGAGTGCTTTAGAGTTTGGGTCTTTTGTTTTTAATTATAAATGAAGACAACTTTTGTGATGCACAAAGACAAATATTTGCCAATAGTTTGACTCTTAACTCTTGGGTTAATCATTTTATGTAATTTTTGGAGGGGAGCATAGAAATATAAAATGCAAGGGTTTATGTTTATAAATACACTTAAATTGATTCATTGATTTAAAAAATGATTATATAAATTCAGTATAGCAATGGAAAAGATGAGAAAAAAATAAAATGATGAGCTGCTCTCTAAAAAGAAGTCTTCATTCTATGGTCATCATGTTGTGCATTATAACTAGAAAATTTTTGGAGAGAAGTCTAGTTACATCTTCCCAGATAATGATCCATTCATTAAAAAAAGAGCACAGTAGTTATGAAGATGCCAATCATTTCTCACTTAATTCTAGTAATCACTGTGATAATAGCAGTATACTAGTGATATTACTTTGGTCTAAGTCATACATGAAAAAAATCAATGTAGAAGGAATTATACAGGGAGAAATAAGTAATTGTTTTGGAGGCAGGCATAAACCTTGTTGAGGGGAAATGAAAAAAAGAATTGAAACACAAAGAAGCAAAAATGTTAGGTGTTTGGTAGATTCCAAAAGATAGCTGAAAATTGAACAC